CGCTCATTTTTTTCCATCTCCCAGGGTGCGGGCAAGGCAGCTGTAAGCAAATGGGGTGCTCCAGCCCAGAGGGCCTGAAGTCGTTGGGGGGCAGGGAGAAGAAAGGAGTGTAAGGGGGCATACGTCCCTGCACTTAGAAACCCCCCGAGTGGCAGCGCCCCCTCCAATGGCACAGCGCCAGCAGCTCTCCTTTGTTTTGTCTTTTGTGGATTTTCAGAGAGGGAGGGAGGGAGGGAGAAAGCAAACATGATGGGCTGCCTCCTCACACCCCCGCTAGAGACTGAGCCTGAAACCCGGGCCTGTGCCCTGACTGGAATCGAACCCGGAATGGAAACAGCAACCTGTTGGTGCACTGGACGATGCTCAAACACCAGCCACCCAGCCAGGGCTCCCATGGCTCTTTTTTTAAAAAAAATTACTGATTTCAGGGAGAGGAAGGGAGAGGGAGAGAGATGAAACATCAGTGATGAGAGAGAATCATTGATCGGCTGCCTCCTCCACACCCCACACTGGCTTCAAGATAGCAACCCGGGCCTGTGCCCTGACCGGGAATCGAAGCGTGACTTTCTGGTTCACAGGTCAACACTCAGGACCGAGCCACCGCCAGGCTCCAGCAGCTCTTTATTGTGATCGGAGGCTACAGTTCAAATGGGGCGGTGAGGCCATGTGAGAAGCTGGGGAGAAAGGGGACTTCACCCTCTGGAGAGAGCTGCTTCTGAATTGACCAAAACCCCTGGGAAAGCCCTGATGGTGGGCCTCCAGCCAGCAACCCTCCAACCCAGGGGATGCGGTCAGGGGGTGGCACCCAGGCCCACGCTGGAGCAGCACACACACGAGAGGCGGAAAGCTCTGCGGCTTCAGAATCAGCATGCCACCCCACCACCCCGCCCACCCCACCCCCAAAACCAGGCTTCTCTCCCACCCCCTTTCACATTTGCCTGACAACCGGACTGCCAAGGGCGGCGGCCCAGGGCCCTGAGCATTTGTGTACATTTGCATAGGTAGCAAGGCAGCCCAACGAAGGCCTTTTTCTAGCAAAAGTGGCATCAGTGCAGGGCTGGGTGACTGCGCTCCCCTCCAGGGAGGACGCCCAGGACACCCAGGAGCCAGGCGGACGGCGGCTGGAGAGTCCCCGGGAGCCGGCCAGCAGCAGCTCAGCCTCTGCGGCGGTGGCTGTGCTCCTCCCTGGGCCCCATGGGTCTGGGGCTCCAGGGGTGCTTGTCCTTCTTCCCCGACCTGTGGGGAGAGGGGGCGGGGCAGGTAGAGGCCTTTAGAGGACAAGGCCATGTGATGAGAAGGGGTCCCCTGAGGAGAAGGGGGACCCCATTCCGCCTAAGGCAGCCAACACAGGCAGCCACCACCGATCATAATGGGGGCCAGACCCGGTCTCCAGGATGCAGTCCCTGGCTGGGGATCCCATCACAGGCCTGAGCTTCTGCATCCTCATAGAAGCACACACCTCTCCCAGGAAGGCCGGAGCCAGCGCCCTCAGCCCCTCCTCATCCTCCCCACAACCCTACGAAGCCAGGCAAGTGTAGGTTGGACAGGACAACTGGGAAAGAAAAATCCCCAGCCCAACGGTGCACACGGGCAGTGTCCTGCCCTCCAAGGCAGACAGGAAAGTATCTCATGCCTTCGTAAGAGAAGCCAGTGGCGGGGACTAAAGGTGGAGATAAGGACTAAAACTGGAACGCCCTGGACTGGGGACTCTCACTCCTTCACACACAGACCCCCCTTCTCCCCGTCTCCTCTGTCCCGCCTCACCCAGCACCCCCACAGCTGCCCACCTCTTCTTCAGTGCTTTGTCCCCAAAGAAGTGGCTGAAGATGAAGTCCTCAAAGTCATCCACCTCGTCGTCATCACCTGTCTGCCGCACCGCCACCTCCTCCAGGCTGTCCTCCAAGGCATCCACAAAGTCCCGAAAGCGCAGGCGGTCATGGCGGAAGATGCCATCCTCACCAAAGTAAGCCGGCGAGAGGGGCAGCTCCGTGGTCAGCTGCCCGGCCCAAGGCAGCCGCGCCAGGTAGGTCCTCAGCAGAGAGGCCAGCTCCTGCTGCCGCACCGGGGCCAGCTCCATGCCAAAGAATGCCAGGCCCTCCTGGCGGGCACACTCATGCACGCCCGAGCAGCCCTGGGGCGCCCGGTACTTGTGCCTGGACAGCTCTGCCCAGGGTGGCAGAGGGTCATGCTGGTCCTTAGCCCCCTCCTTCCACTGAGGGTGCTTCTGCCTTTCTCCAGAGGAGTGGGGGCTCCCATTTTTCCTGGGGGGCTCCTTGGGGCCCTGCCACTTCCCATCCTTGCCCCGCTCCTCCGCTTTGGGCTTGCCCTCCTTCCACCTCCCGGCGGGCTCCCCGTCCTCCTTGCCCCCCCAGCTCTTCTTCCTTTCCCAGCCAGACTCCTCCTTCCTAAGCTTCCAGTGCTCAGCCTGCCGGTCCCCATGCCCGCCCCGCCACTTCTCCTTCCCACCCCGCTCTCTGGGACTCTGGAAGTGGGGCTCCTGACTCCCGGCCTCTGAGGCGTTGCCAGGGACCCTAGGGTGCGGGCCCCAGCTCCCCAGGCCCTGCAGCTCCCGAGCCAGCCTGTGGCCCAGCTCGGCGAGGCCAGCGTGAGCTGCGTCCCCTTGGCCTGCGTCCCTCAAGCTCTGCTCCAGGTCCCGCTGCACCGACCCCAGGAGCCGCTGCTGCCTCTCCACCTCTTGCCTCAACGCCTGGGCCTCGGCCTCTAGCCGTTCCTTCTGCTCTCGGAAGCCAGTGCCCGGATCCTGCCCCTGAGCGCCTGGCTCCTTGGTGACCTTGCCACCCTGCGGGCCTCTGCCCCAGCTGAGGCACACCCCGTGTGCTCCCCGGACGCAGGCAGCCTCCAGGCCCTGGAGGCGGGCCCGCAGCTGCTGCAGCTCCGACTCCAGGGCCCGCTGCGAGGCCTCGCCGTGCTGCAGGGCCCCTCGGAGCTGCGCATTCTCCGCTTCCAGCACTTTGGGCCGGTGTATCAGGCTCTGGAGCTCTTCCTTCTGGGCCTGGGATGGGTGGAGGGAGGGCGGGTACCACACGAGGGTCTTTTCAGGGTGGGTCCCATGGCTTCCACCCCGATTCTATTCAGTCCAGTGGGCAGATGACCCTTTTATGGCCAGGGACACTCCGAGGACTTGGTTCTCGTCCTCCTCCCCATTTGCCACCTGCCCCAGACCTGGGAGTCCCCAGATCCCATCCAGGCCTGAGCTTCTGCATCACCGACCCCAGCACACACCTCTCCCAATCACCCAGTGAGAGCCAACATGTGGCTTTCCCTGCCCGCGGCAGGTTCTTAAATCCTCCGCCACACAGTCTCCAGGCAGACCAGAGCAGTCATCGGAGGCGGCACATCACATGAGACGGGTAGACCAGCCCTGGCCTAAACTTGAGCGTGAGGGACATCAGAGAACTAGGCAGATGGCCTGCGGCGGTGGGAAGGGAGCGGGCCCAGTTGTAAGGCAAACAGAGGACACTTCATGTGGGGGCGGACACTAGGACAGACACCTGGCCTAGGAGGGCGGGCCTCGCCCACCCCTTCCTACTGGTGCCCACCTGCAGCTGGGCCTGCAGCAGCCGGATGTCCTGGTTCTCCTTGGCCAGCTTATCCAGCAGGAGGGCCATGCTCTGCAGGCTGGGGACACTGTCTGGGGGCGCGGAGGCCTGCAGCTGCTGCCTTCGCCCATCCTGAGGGCAAAGGAGCCGGTGACCCACCCTGCCCCACAGCCGGGAACTCCCCCACAGGCCCACACGCGATGGACACAGTCACATACCTGCCCATCCCCCATCTCGTCGTCCACCCTGGCATCTGGAAAGACCTGCAGTTCCACTTCCTCCAGGGCCCCTGAGGGACAGCAAGTCCTGAGACTGGCCCCAGGGCACACAGAGAGCACGCCTCCCACACACAACCACCTCCTGCCTGGACCCACCCAGGCCTGAGGTCCAGCCAGGTCAAGGGCCATGGGCTACTCTGCACAGCTGACAAGGCATAACTGAGCAATCCATGTCCAACCCCAGCACCCCTGCTTCTGACCCAAAGAGCCGCCCCCATCAGCCTCCCTCGGGGCCGGGAGGGGACAGACCGAACCAGCCAGGGCCCTCCCCACTCACCGCTCTCCGACTCCGAGAGGCCACCTGGGAATGGAGACAGAGCAGCTGGTGAGGCCTCAGAGGAGGGGTGGGCTGAGGTGAGGGGCAGGAGGACAGCAGAGCCCAGGGTAGAGGCTCAGGGGCCCGGGGGAGGCACCACTCACCTGAGAAGAGGAGGATCCCCAGGCCCAGCAGAACCAGGGCCCCCAGAAGGCACATGTTGAGGGAGACGCCCGGCTCCCCGCTGACACCCTCGCCCCTGGCCTGGTCCTCCACGCCCAGGGGCCCCACAGGCTGAGGAGCACTGGGCTCCCACCCGCG